CCATGCGCTGGGTGCGTCACGACGCGCCGGCCCGACGCGGGCAGCTGCGGCGGCTGCTGGAGCACGTGCGCCTGCCCCTGCTGGCGCCCCACTACTTCTTGGAGAGGGTGGAGGCTGACGAGCTGCTGCAGGCCTGCGGCGAGTGCCGCCCACTGCTGCTCGAGGCCCGTGCCTGCTTCATCCTGGGCCGAGAGTCCGGTGGGCTACGTACGCGGCCACGGAGGTACAGCCCCCACTCCCAGCCCCTTTGCCACAGGCTTTCGTTATTCCCACATTCTTCAACCACTCACTCACACCTCTGTCATCCTTTAATTCATCCTTTAATCATGCCTCTGGAATGAAATTCAGTCCTTTATTAACAAACAGTTCATAGGCTTAGTGTTAGGCATTCTGCCCTTGAGGAGTTAACAGCCAATAGGGAGATGCAGGCGTCTCACACCTTATGTACTTTTTCTCTTGCTCATCCATCCATAATTTTGAGTGCTCCCTTTGTGCAGGTCTCGTGCTGGGTCCCTGAGACTCAAGAGTGATTTGAAAACACCCTATATGCTCTGGGAGCTCAGACTAGTAAGGGATATAAATAGGCAGGGCCTGGAAAACCATATCGGGAGACGCTGGGTGGAGTAGTCCAAGATAGTCTGTCATCCTTCCAGGGAGTCCTGTCTTACAACTGTATCTCCAACACTAAGCACAGGGCTGGTACAAAGAAGATGCTCAATATTTGTCACAGGAATTAGGTATGCCTAATTTCCAATGCCTAAAGGGTTTGGGAATTCTGGTAGGTTCAGAAGCCTGAGGGGTCAGTGAGAGGTGAAAACACTTTGCTGAACGGGTGTGAAGCCTGGTTCAGTGGGATTAGTGATTAGGGTATAGGTTTAGAAGATGGTTATAGGAGGGAGGCAGCAGAATTAGGGAGTGGAGGTCAGAAAGGGTAAAGAGAATGGGTTAGCATCAGACAAACCTGGGCTTGAATTCCAGCTTTTTTGCTTACTGGCTTGCATGACTTTGGGCAAGCCAGTCTGTTAGCCTCAGTTTCCTCCTCTGTAAAAGGTGATTTTTCTAGCTAAGGTTAAAGGCTTTGTAAATATTCTTTTTCTGTAATTTAGAGGTCAGTAGAATGGAATAAGGATTAGTGACCCTCCTCCCATCAATAGCCAGAGGGAAGGTTGGAAGTGACAGAGCCCAGCATGGGAATTAGGAGGGAGACAGAAGGACATGGAAGGGTAGGAGAACCCTACAGCGTGGTCAATGAGAGCGTGAGAGGGCCGAAACTTGTGCGCAGATCAATGGATACTGGGCTTATCCCCATGCCAGATTCATGGACCTAGCTGAAGTGATCGTGGTCATTGGCGGTTGTGACCGCAAGGGGCTTCTGAGGTTGCCCTTCGCAGACGCCTACCACCCAGAAAGCCAGCGCTGGACCCCGCTGCCCAGCTTGCCTGGCTACATGCGCTCAGAGTTTGCTGCCTGTACTCTCCGCAATAACATCTATATCTCAGGTGAGAACAGGGCTGCATTGGGAGCCCGACAGGATTAGCTCATCTCACCTGAGCACTGCCCCTTTGTTTTTTGTTCTTCCCTCCAACCAGGAGATGGGGGTGGGGCTTTTCCTGGTAACCTACAGTTATTGACTGAAATGGTATGTAGTCCTGCAGAACCAATCACTGGTGTGACTCCACCCTTAATTCAGTAAAGTCAGCTTCAGCTCATATTAGTATTAATCACTTGTTTTAAGCTACTTTGTGCCAGGCATTATGTTAAACAGCTTACATTAATTAATTCTCTCTAAAATCCCATTTCACAGATGAGAAAACAGGCTCAGAGAAGTTAAGAATTTCCCCATTGCCTCAAAATTGACAAAATTAGGAGCTTTGATATCAACAGATGGTGTTTTCCTTGAGATTCAGACCCTAGAGAATCAGAATAAAGCACAATTCTTGCTCCCTGCTGTACCCTGGAGAGGGGGAAACAGACTTTACTTTATGATCAGACTGAATTTGATGGGAACTCTCAGAGTCCCCAAATGAGCTGGAATCCCACTCAGGGAATCTGGCCCAACTTTGGAGGGAACAGCACAGGGAAAGGCATGAAGGTAGGAAGATGCAGAAAGGAACCCTGGTTACTCAGGGCTCTGAAGTGCAGGTTGAGTGTACCTGGGAGGGGAAACCATTGTAGGTGAGGGAGGAAAGGGAGCCTGGAGTCAGATCAGACAGACTTTCCCTCTAGGCCTAGGTAGACTACACTTAATGTTGTAGGAGCTATGGGTGCCAGGGAAGGACAAGGAGCAGAAGAATGAGACAGGAAGGCTTCAGAAACCATCCAGGCCAAATGGAAATACACAGAGGCAAGGGCACCAGACATGTGGCTAGGCTGAAGGGTGCAGTCACAATTGTCCCTGAGGAGGCTACTCCTGAGAGTTGAGTCCCTGGCAGGAACCCTACAACAGCCAGGTAGGGGGAGGGAGAGTCCACAGCCTACATCCCCAGTGCTTGCCCCATGAAGTATGCTGTGTCCTTCACTAATACCAATGTTGGGCTTGGGGGCTAGAAGCTCTGGTTCTGATCAGTGCTCTGGCATTGAAAGACCATGTGATCTTCAACAAGTCATTCCTGGTCTCTTATGCCTCAACTGAGTTTCCTATCTGTAAACTGGGTACAGTAATCCCAACACCTCATGGAGGGATGAAAACAGACATGAAGTTATGAGGGTAAAGGCAGAAGTGAGACAGAAATATTGGGTCACTCTCTACCCTTCCCCATCCCAGTGTAAGTGGCTCTGCTTTCTTTACCACAGTGTATTCCTGATGCTTGTCTTGGGTACCTTTTGCACTCTCACTTTCAGTAGAGTTCTAAAGTGCCCCCCTCTTTGCTTCCCTGAGCACAGAGCCTGGCACACCACAACACACCAAGTGATTAGTTCCTTCTCCCTGACTCTCTCAGGCCTCTCCCTCAAAAGTCTATGCCCGTTGTCCTAACTCAGACCTTCCCACCACTTGTTCAAAGCACACTGTCTGGGTCACAGGCCCAAAGTCTCACACCAGCTCAGGGGAAAGTCCTTCCTGCCATCTACCCTTAACCCTTCCCTTGGATCTGGGGGCAACAACTGCTTTTCTCTCCCCAGGAGGTCACATCAACAGCCATGATGTGTGGATGTTTAGCTCCCATCTGCACACCTGGATCAAAGTGGCCTCACTGCACAAGGGCAGGTGGAGGCACAAGATGGCGGTCTTACAGGGACAGGTAGGGACATGTAGCAGCTGCTGCTGCCCTGGGGCCCACGGTACAGATCTATAGATGTCCTTAGGGAAGGCCCTTTCTAAGACCCTCTCTCTGTAAGAAGGGATCTGAGGTCTCAAAAAAGAAAGGGACTTGCCCAAAGTCACATCATAATACTAATGCTAATAGTAATTACGGTAATAGTACAGCCTAGGGGTCAAGGGTGTGGGCTCTGGGGTCAAACATTCTAGGTTTGAATCTCGACTCCACTTAAGACCAAAAAAAAAAAAAAGACCCACAAAAAAACTTGCCAGTTATCTTTTGTAGCTACATCCCCAACTCAGAAATGCAGATAAAAGTGCTTCTTAGAATCATTTAAGTAAAGTGGTAAACCCTTAATTACTATTACTAAGCATTAGCTTGGTGCCAAGTATTTTACAGACTAATTCTGCATTCAGTACCCATTCTAGAGATGGAGGTCCTTATCCCCAGCTAATGAGAGGAAATCTGCTAAAGGAGGTTCAGTAACTGGGTAGTGGCAGCACTGAGATTCACCCTGGGTAGGCTTGGCCCTTGTGCTAGGGTGGGATAGCTTTTGGCACACAAGTGGAGCAAGCCCTGACTCTGGTGGGGTGGGGGACTCCCCTTGTCCTCACACACAGCTGTTCGCAGTGGGTGGCTTTGATGGCCTGCAGCGCCTGAGCAGTGTGGAGCGCTACGACCCCTTCTCCAACACCTGGGAGGCAGTGGAGCCGCTCCTGGAGGCCGTGAGCTCGGCAGCAGTGGTGCCCTGTGCTGGCCGGCTCTATGTGATCGGGGGTGCCAGACAGGACGGTGTCAGCACAGACAAGGTGGGTGTGGAGAGGACACTGGAGGCCTGCTGTGTTGGCGCTGAGTTGGCACTTTCCTGTCCTCATCCATTTTCTCATTTAATCCCATCAACAACCCTGAGGAGGAAGCCACATGTTTGAGGCAAGGCTATCGATTCAGAGATGACCCCAAGGTCAAACAGTGGGTCAGCAGCACAGCTAGCCTGAATGTTTGACTGATGCCATATAGTTTCAAAGATTAAAAATTAAGCCAGGGTACCTGGCCGGGTGGCTGAGTTGGTTGCAACATTCTCCCGTACACTAAAGGTTGTGGGTTTGATTCCCAGTCAAAGCACATACCTGGGTTGTGGGTTCGTTCCCTGGTTGGGGCACGTACAGGAGGCAACCAATCAATGTTTCTCTTTCTCTCTCTCCCTTCCTTTCTAAAATAAACAAACATATCCTCGAGTAAGGATTAAAAAAATTGAGTGCAAGAGTGGGATTAATTAAAATGCTTTTCCACCATTCAAAACAATACTCATTACTGAAAGTTTAGAAAACAGAGAAACAGAAAAAAAATCACCCATAATTCCCCCACCTAAAGATAACTATTATTAATATTTTGGTGCACTGCCTCCAGGCTTCCTCTGAATTGTCTTTGAATTAATCTTCATAATGACAGCTCTCTCCTTCCCTGGATGGCCTCACAGTCGTGTGGTCCTGTGATGTGAATTTTTCCAAATTAAGATCACTTGTCCTTCCTTATTTCCCCAGCACATTTTCCTGGGGCTGGCTGAACTGCCCCATTTAGTACCCTCTCATGCAGCACTGACTTGTTTTAGGCCACTCTGGGAGTCTCCCAAAGAAACAACTGAAAAAGAGTAAAGGTGAGCAGGCAGGTACAAGTATGAACCCTCAGGAACTGTGCAAGGTGTCTTAAACACACGTAGGACTGGGAGGCATGTGGATAGCTGTAGTAATGTGAGCTAAAAGACACCCCAGCTGGAATCTTGTTATGACCTCATTAGCACCAGGAAGAGGGACAAGGGTTGATTGACAGTGGAGGGTTGATTGAACACATCTCCACCGGGTACCTGCTCTGAGGAGCCTCTACAGCACTAATGCAGATAGTACCTCCATCTCCTGGAATGGGGACCTCTCCTTGGACCTTGAAAGATGAGGATGCTTTTGATACAGGGAGTCCAGGGGTAGGAGACCAAAGTTGGAACTATACTTGAGGGCAGGCCCGGCAGACAGAGGCAAATATTGTGCTGAATGAGTCCCCTTGACAGAGAGAAGTGGGAGTACATAGGCAGCAGGGCAGTTGGGGGGTGAGGCTTCATCACTGCCACATCTCCTACCCTTCAGGTGCAGTGCTTTGACCCCAAGGAGGACCAGTGGAGCCTGCGGTCGCCAGCCCCCTTCTCACAGCGATGTCTTGAGGCTGTCTCCCTTGAGGACACCATCTATGTGGTGGGGGGCCTCATGAGCAAAATCTTCACCTACAACCCTGGTACAGATGTCTGGGGGGAGGCAGCTGTCCTCCCCAGCCCCATGGTAAGTTAAGGGTCTTAGGCATAGCCCTGGTTCCATTCAAGAGAGGGAAGACCCACTTCTAAGAATCTGGATCTTAGAGCTAGTGAGTCTTGTGTCTGACTCCATGCTAGGCGGTTCTACTTAGTTCTCTAGCTTTGTCTTCACAATGATAATCAGCCTTGCATTTCACAAATGAGGCTCCAGTCCGAGACCACCAGTTATACCATGTTAAGGCAGAACCTGGAACCCCAGTTCCAAGTGCTGTAGCCCTGGATGGGGAACTTGGTCTAAATGATCTTGCACTCTCTCCTGTCTTGAAGGCCACCAGCTGGTAGCTGACTGGGGTTGGGGTTGGTGGTGGTGAAGCATGGAGAAGGAACTTGCTAAGTTCCCCTGCCCCAGTGATATCAGAGAAGAGAGGCCCAGGCCCTGAATGGGCCCCTGTATTCCTTGCCTCTCCCACCTTTTGTTACCTCTCCTGAAACTCCAGAGACTATATAGGGGTGTGATTGCACTGGTAGCCCCTGCCAGTTATGACCTTCAGTGATCCTAGGAGCCTGAGATTTCTGGCTTTTCTGAGTCTGAGATCCTAAGATGGTGGTGGTGTTATTGTTGTTACTGAAGTGCTTCCTGTATTCCAGGTACTATGTAAAAAATACCTTACATGCTTAACCCTGTTAACTGCTCAGGGAACCTTATGAAGAAGGTACTCGTTTTTCTTACTTTGCAGATAAAGAAACTGAGGCCCAGAGAGGTTAAGTGACTTGTCTGAGGCTATTCATTTAGCAAGGGTAAACCAGAGCTTCCTGCCTTCCATCCAAATTCCTCTCTACCATCCAGATTGGTTGCTCACATTCTGTGGGTCAAGGTTTTTTGTCTGGCCTGGCCAGCTAGTGACTGAATGAGCCCCAGGCTGGACCCCAGAGCTGACTGTCTTTCTATTTGTCCAACTCAGGAGAGCTGTGGTGTGACTGTGTGTGATGGGAAGGTCCATATCCTTGGTGGGCGGGATGATCACGGAGAAAGCACCGACAGAGTCTTCACCTTTGACCCCAGCAGTGGGCAGGTGGAGGCCCAGACATCTCTGCAGCGCTGCACCAGCTCCCACGGCTGTGTCACCATTGTTCAGAGCATGGGCAGGTGACTCAAACTTGGAAAACCTGAGCCAGGAGGCAGAGAGAGAAGGCAGAACTCAGGCTCACTACTGTGCTTGTCTCATGGCACCTCTATTGTAAATAGCCCCTTAACTTATTGCCCTTCTTTCTTATAGAAATAAAACTTCATTTAAAGGTTGGGTCTGTGTTCCAGCTCAAGCCTGCTTTGCCTGGAGAAGTGTCTACTCCTTGCCTTGACTCTTTACAAAGCACCTTCACGTTACCTCATTTACCTTCATAATAGCAGTGTGGACATAATTTTTTAAATTATGAAATACTTCAAGAATATTTAATTTTGTACAGTTTAAGAATAATAAAACATCTGTGTTCCTACTACTTAGCTTAAGAAGTAGATGTTACAGCCACACTGGTCAGGACACATATCCAGGTCGCATGTTTGATCCCTGGTCGGGATGCGTGCAGAAGGCAACCAATCGATGTTTCTCTCTCCACCTTCCTCTCTCTGGGGAAAGGAAAAAAAAAAGGTTTATAATAAAAAGAAACAGAATGTTACAAATGCCTTTGTAGACTCCAGTGTCTATTCCCAAACCCATTCCCTTCCCATAGTACTTCAAGGTAATCACTATCCTTCAACTTGAGATGATCAACACTTTTAACTTTTAGCAAGCTAATTATTAATATCTGTATTTTACAAAGAAGGAACTGCCTTGAAAAGATGAGAATTGCCTAAGGCCATATACTTAAGAGTCTCTGATTAAGATTTCATGAAGCTTCAGAATCAATGAGGTACTTATGGTCAGGATGGTTCTCTTTCTAAGCAACCCTCTCAAATTCAAACACTTAGCAGTGATAGACAAAATTAAAACTCAAACAACTAAAAAGAGAGAAACATAGGCTTATAAGCAAGCAAACATGCCCAAGAACCAGAAAAAATAATTATAAAACCCCAACGAAGGCAGAAGTTTGAGCTCTGGGGTTCACGCACTATGGGATCAAGTCCTTAAAAAAGGATTCCAATCCAGGCTCACTGCTAGAAGCCAGAGCTAAGGTGGGGCTCCCCCATGCATGAAAGAAGCTAAAACACAACAGATCCGAACAGCCTTGGGGTTCAAGGCTTGCAACTGGGTGGTAGGTGCCAGAGCCACAGGCCTCTGAGAACCCAGCCAGCCTAGCTCTGCGTTGGACCTGCAAGATCCCCAGCATCAACAAGGGTCACAAACTCCTGATGCAATTGTAAGCCCCTGGATTAGCCTGGGGCTCTAGAAACAGCAACATAAAACTACTGGATAGGAAGGGGTAGCCTTAGAGGAGAGGGAATGAAAGATGTCACAAAGAGATTCTGTGAGGCAGAGGCCCAGAGGTGCAGGTTACGTGCCGTTTCTGAGGCCCAGAGGATGGAGGACCTAGCTAGACCCCACCTGGGGCTCCTCTCATTTACACCCAGATTGCCTTTTGAAGAGCTATCATAGGTTCCTTGCAACTCCAGCCTCCCGCCCCTCCCATCTTCAAAAGCCCCAGGGCCCTGTCTGGGAGATCTTTCCAGCTGGGGCTGGCCCTTCACAGCCCAGCACAAAGGCCCAGGTCCCAGCTGAGCTCCTACCCTCTGATTATGTCAGATTAGGAAGCCTGTGACCATCTGGACACAGCTGATAATGGCAGAGTGGGGAGGTGAATAGGGTAGAGGCCCAGTTCCTCAGAGTGCCAGCCCCCACTCCAGGGATAACATCCGGACAAAGCTAGAAAGCACTGCATTATTTGTCTATCCCCTCAAAAGCCCAAGTGAAAAAGACAGGGGCAAATCCAGTGCAAACTCTCCCTCACCTGGCCTGGGCACTTCCTGTGTGCCAAGCAGGCTGCACCACTCCCCCTCCACAATGACCATTCATGCTCTCGCTCTTTCATGTAAGTGCTGATGCCCCTTTGTGCTGTCTGCCTGGGCAGACCTGATAACCCTCCACCCCCAGAGTTTACCACTCTCTCTGTGTCCCTTCCTTATCTGCCCCTCTTCTATCACCTGACATATGGCCAGGCCTTTTCTCCAGTGTCTTGACACACCCAAAGGTTGCCCTTTGAGGCAGGAAAGGTGTCAGTTTCATCTGTGTCCCCCAGTGCGCAGAACAAGGCCTCCCATTGAATACATTAAATCAAAGTATCCTGGTCTTTACCTTATAATACCTGTGAGTTGGTACTACTGCCTACCCCACCACCTTTACAAATTAGTAAACAGCTGATGAGTGGTGGCACAGCCAGGATTCCAACCTACATCCATCTATCTCCAAAGCCTGCTCTCTCCAAGCAGCCTCTCAGAGAGGCTCTGCTAATCTGATAAAATGGGTGTTGAATGAAGCACAGTTGTTGTTTAGGAGACACATCATTTCCACCATGGAAAATCCCAGCCTGGTAGAATACTGTTCCTGCCCTTGGGGGCCTCCTTGAATGGAGACATGGTTCATGTCCCTGGTGTGGCTCACAGGAACACAAGCAAAAGGTGACACCCCATTTGTCCCGATTTCCTAGGACTTGTACTGATTACACCTACTATATTGGTCTCCCAGTGTAACTAACAGTCCATTTGTGGAAGGTCTCCCTGCCTACTAGTCCACTGCTTCCCACACTCACCATCCCCCTGCAGCCAGACCATAAATCCAGAGCATGAACCCTGAGCATGGCCCTTAGCTGTGCAGCGTGCCAGAACACAGTGTGCCAGAACAAAGACTTAACTCTGGTATTACCATCAGATGCCACTGGAGCCAAATTCAGTTTCTGAGTTTCTTTTTTCAGCAGTCCTAATTATTTGTAAGGATTAGTATTTTATGACTGTTGTTGTTCTTTAGTGGGCTTCCAAGGAACAATGGGGAAATTTACTTTTAAAAAAAACCAAAATAAAATTCATTCTCTCATAATCACCAATATGGAGTTGTTGGATTCTTTCATAAATCTAAAATATATTATGAGAGCTTGATGAAATTATTTTTCTATATCTTGAAAAATTTTGCTATTTCATCATAAAAATTATTTAATATTACTCATCAATTATTCCCAACTATGTCAAACAACACTAAGATGGTAAGAAAATGGAAGAATGATGGTACTACCTAGAAGATGCAATGAAATAAATCACCATTCCATCACTTTCAGTTTCCATATTACGTTGTCCAAAGTATTATCATCTTTTAAGAGGGTATAAAAGAAGTCTGGAGACATCAAGTAAGAATTCAGGATTTTTTCATTTGCCATCCATGACAAAATAGAAGAAAAGTGATAGAGGACATTTCACAATTATTACACAAATTAAAAAAAGAATGCAGAGACATATTGTAGTACTCTAGTATCTAAGGATGGGAAATTGGTCACATCAGCAAAATCTTTCCTAGATGAATTTTCTCAAATTCAAGAACTGGTGAATGAACAATATATTTCTAAAAACAGAAAGGAAATATGGTATTTTAAGTCATAAGTCATTATTTAGTGAAGTCATTCAACAGGACTTCATCATACAAAATTTTTACAAAAAAAACCCTGGACCATCCTGTTTTGCTAAAAGGTGGTGTAACAATATTCTTTCATCTTTTATGATGCTTATGCACCCACATTTACTTCATACAGTTTGTTACAGTTCCTAAGTGGAGATATACTCAAGACAGTTGTGTAGGTGACTGAAGGGAAATAGATGCTGTAAAACATTTTTTTAAAAAAATTATTGGCTTGGTCATTCTGATCTTTATAAATCTAAAAATAAAAATGTTTTAAAATTATGGAGCAAAGAACATGGCTGGCTGTTCTTTCTTTCACAAAATTATGAACCATCAAAAATATTGCATGTTGACAATGCAAGTGCAAAACAAAACTAAACCAGAAAAAAACCCCAAAAGCAATGATAAGCTAGAGCCTATTAGAGATGTATCTGAAATCTGGAATCATAGCCACATGACTAAGTTCCAGCACCATCTATAGTAGCTGATGAGCAATTCACTGCATTCAAGGGACTTTGCTCATTTTGGGTATATGTACCTTCAAAACAAGAAAAATGTGGAACTGTTTGCTGTTTTAATTCATATGTATGTATGCATATACACACATATGTATGAATGACTTTAGAGAGATGTAATTCACTTAACATAAAAGTCACCCATTTGAAAAGTATAATTCAATGGTTTTTAGTATATTCAGAGTTGTGCTAATACTTATGCTGGTCATTGGGGAGTTGATGGCCTACCAGTGAGGGCAGGATGAAGCCATCCCAGCATTCCTCCTCACTCAGTGGACAAAGGTCCAGCTGTACCTGGATGGCTGAGATGGTACAATACAGGACAGCAGCAGCAGCTCAGTGGTTTCATTTCAACTTCAAAGCTACTGGGGTTCCATCTTATTTGTGAACGTGAGGGTATGGGTGGGATCAGGTAAGTCTGTTCCCAACCTAGGGTCTTATTCTCAAATCAGGGAGATCTTGAGATATTCCAAATATTTTTCAAAGCCTAAGAGAAATCACACATTCCCCTAAGATGTATTGCGTGGGTTAATTAAAATCACAGTAAAACGAGGTTAGTAATGGAATCTGCCCATTACAGGGATGTTGGGAAGATTAAATGACATGTTCACAGCAGGCTTAGGGCATATAATTATCTTCTCACCAGAGTCATACTGCTTATCAAGCTATAAATGTAACTTTAATAACAAATACAAAAATGTTTTGCTTTATTGATTAAATAACATAAAATCAGATGTCCCAAGGAAGGTAATAGTAAGAAAAACAATCTTTGAAGTTGAAAATATTGATTCTCAATACCTAAATGTTGGCAGGCTCTGACACAAAACAGTTGCATTTATATGCAACACTGGAGCTCAGAAACAATCACTAGATAAAACAAGGCACAGCAAAACCCCAATAAAACAGGGCTAGTAATACCTGCCCAGCTATGCCCACTTCCAGTAGAGGCAGAAAGCACAAGCCCTGTGGTCAGGGCCCTTACAGTTAGGATGGGGAGAATCCATTACCATGAAGTTAGCTATTGACGATTTCCAAGAGGATATGCTTAATAATTGTAGCAACAGCTAGCATTCATTGAGCACCTGGTATGATGTCAGGCACTGTGCTAAGAGCTCATACATGCAGATGAACAAACGGAGGCAGAGATGTGCTCATACTGCTAAGTTGTGGACGTGGTTTTGAATCCAGTGCCTGGCTTGAAGGCCTGGGCTCTTACCTGTTAATGTCTCCAAATGGAGATAACATATTGGATGATGAACACTAGAGAAGAGGCATGAATTGGCATTTAGATCTCCTTTAACTCCCACAACAACCCTGTGAGATAACCAAGAAACAGAAAGGTCCAAAGTCTCAGTGAATCAGTGCTGGTGACAGAATTTGAACCCAGGTTTGACTGCAAAGCCCAGCTTCTCCAGTGCCCTTTGTAAAATGCTCTGCACAGGGCATTCTCCAATCCACTGCATCCTGGCTGACTTCCTCATAGCCTTT